AATAACTATTTGTTATTCCCTCCCATCCAAAATAATTGATGTTTTAAAAGTGCTTCCATAACAATTGATGTTTCACAAAACCAAGAAGGTATTTAATTCTTTTTCTCAAATTTTCCCTTTGACACATTCCTAATCACCATGATATTTATCTCAACTAAGAAAATAAAATCATAATTAAGGGTATTTTAGTCAAACCAGTCTTAATTTATAGGAGTTAGTGAATTCCTTCATTCATGTGCCCAAGCCCAAAACATCAATTGTTTTGGACCTATTCCAAAACCTTGCTAACAGTTTTATCCAAGCAAATCTTGGTGTATTAGTTTGATACATCTACACAACTTCAACTATTTTTCATTGTCTCTTTCTTTGCATTTTCATCTCTAGACTTTCTATGTGAAATTGCTTCTTTTAGAAATGCAATGGGGAAGGAGCTTAGTTGCAATCAATTAAAGTAACAACTGTAACTAAGAGCAAAGAAAGAAAACTGAAACAACTAACATATTAGAATTCGGTGAACATTAAGGTCTTTATTAGTTGGACCGTCACTCCATGAGTTTATGTTGTCACTCCAGTGAAAGGCACTGGGTAAATGGATCCATTATCTGATCACTTCTTAGATATGGTTAAGACAGATCAAGAACCAGATATAGCTTTTATATTGTACAAAATTGTTAACACTGGTGATATTTACAGGTTAGCTCAAGCCACAAACAAACAATAAGGATTCAGATTACAGAATACACATTGCTGCAAAGAGTCCTTCATCTTCTCTTGAAACTCTGCCCTACCCCCCACCCCAAACCTACCAAATAAGTCCTTCCTTTGCAATGACACCAAACATGAAATTATCTAGTTTCTTTTTTTTTTTTGAAACTGGTAACTTTTTCTATATATGTTAGAATCCGAATCTTACAAGAGTTGTAGCATCCCCATATTTACAAAGTACTACCTACATCTATGATTCTATGATCCTATGTCTATAATGAGTCTAAAACATCAATGATAGAGAACGGATCATTTAAAAGTAACTGATTACACCAAAAACACAGTAGCAAGATGAAATTATCTGATTCTATGATCCTATGTCTATAATGAGTCTAAAACATCAATGATAGAGACAGGATCATTTAAAAGTAACTGATTACACCAAAAACACAGTAGCAAGATGAAATTATCTAGTTTCTAACTAATGCACCTTAAGTTTTCTTTGTTTACTGCACCTCAGAAAAACACAGTGCAAAATGGACGCTATTTATACTTCTCCATTTGAATTAATATACATTAAGTTTCTTGTCATACTGATTGGCTCAAAACATCTGAACTATTAAGCTCTGAATTAAAAAATAAAATTCAAAGTCACACACACAAAGCTAACAAGATCTATAAACTACTAAATATTAACACAGGGTTACTAAAATGCAACTGCAATTCTGCCAAATATATTCCTTTCTCCTAGTATTTTCACACAGCATTTGCATGGTCTAGACCCAATTTATAATGCACAAACACAATGTGCAGCCTAATCAGCGATAGTTTATCAATAAAGTAATATAAGCAACAATAACGTTCTCTAAGTTCGAAAAATTCACTGAAAATTGCTCATTTGATTCATGTCGTTAACCAAAAATTACACAAACATCATCCAAACGGAGAGAAAGAGTTACAATCGTAATACAGCTCATTTCCGATTCATTCCAGAAAAATCAATCTAAAAAGGACTAAAATTAAGAGAATCTGCAGTAATGAGAGGCAAACCTGATCTTGAGACTCGCTGTGCGGAACGGCATAGCAATTCCTAACGTCAACAGTACCATCAGGTAATACGGAACCGAGAAGAGTGCCTATGATACGCTCGGCTTGGTCAGGGCGCCTCACAAAGCAATCGCAGATGTTGAAAATGACCAAAGGATGAACTTTAGCCGATAAGCTCGCTGATGATGGAGAAAATTGCAACACTGTTTGATCGCTGGACGCCATTGCTGTTATCCACTGTTCTTCGTACTGTGAGCGAGCAAAATACGAAGAACTGTAAGATGGAAAGAACTGTGTGTTAGTGAAGTTGCTAGGGTTTTGCGGATTGGAAAACACGGGTGAAGCTTTGTTTTGGGCCGGGTCTTCTTTTCTAACCCAAAAACAAGAGAAGAGACTATTTTGGGCTTTTTCTGGTACGGTTAAAGTTGACAATGGTATTGACTTGTTTGAACGGGAACAAGTTATTTTGAATTAGTTATCAGGGGATTGTTATTCTACCTTCAATATAGTATAAAAATAACACTATAGTTCTATGATAATTTATCCTGCGATTTATCCAACTAAACATGAGATAAACTTGTCTTAAAATTAATCAGAATTAGTTATCTTGCATTTTATCCAACCAAATATGAGATAAATTCATCTTAAATTAATCAGAATTAGTTATACGATTTCATCTCAACCATATATGAGAGTCAAAGAATAGGCTTGTTGGAACTATATCGAGATTAGAATGACAAGGAATATATGTATCCGTATATAATTATAAGTTGGGCTCTCCTTTTCGCCCACCTCATTAATATCTGGAGGGAAGAATCCGAGGGTAGCCTGATTATTAAGGGACAGGAACACTATCAACATGGTATGATTCTTTTTAATCACCCCGAATAATGCACACTGCTCTAAATAGAGCACAGTAAATAATGTGTCAGACGCCTAACCAGTTGAACTGTTCTCTTATAGAACTGGTAAGCCTAAAATTAATTTCAAAATTAGTTATACGAGTCCTAAAAGGTCTAAAGTTGAGAACTAAAAAAGCTTAACTTTAAAATCAAATTAGAAAGAAATTAACACAAGACAAAAAAGATTGCACTCTTTTTTATTTTTTTATTTTTAATGTCAATTCTTGGTACTTGGAAAAAGTTGCACTGTTTTGTTTGTTTGTATCATGGGCAACAATGGAAAATCAACCCAACACGTATATTATAAAGCGAAAATAAATGGTCAAAATTTATTCATATTTATATCAAATCAAATGAATATATTATCATTGTCATATACTTTCTTCGATTTATTTTTCTCAATTTTTATTAGTAACAAATCAAATTTTTGAATGAGCAGAATCAAAATATAAAGAAACAAATATTTATTAGATAAGAATGGTCTATATACATGCATAATTTATTAGACGATAAAGATATATATGCACAATTCTTTAAATGAGTAAATATATTCGTTCAAAATTGTAAAGTTAAAAAATATATTTACTACCTTTTTTTCGCTAATACAATTAACTAAATTTCTTTAAGAGTGCGATTCAATCCAAAAATTTATCTATTTTGAAATGGAGTACCTTCTTTAATTTATTATCGTACGTAGTTATATATTAACACTTCCACTAACTTCAAAGGAGAGTTGACGAAGAGGCCTTAAAGTTTCTCTTGTGAGATAAATTGAAGCAAATTTAGAATTAAAATTTATAAATTTTTTAATTTTATAAAAATTTCATAAAAATCGTGGAAGATAGGAATAATCTCTTTGATAAATGTTTGACTTTTGCTTTTTATCTTTTTAGATTTTTAAAAAATAATCATATTATATCATTTTTTCAAAAAAACAACAAAAAAATCAGGTGTTCGAACCGCGTTAGAATTCCAATTTAATTTGAATAACGTAATACAGAGTGCCAATTCAAAAATGAGGCTTTCAATATATCACTCTTATTCTTATACGTCATCTAATTATTAGGAAATAAATAATATAAAATAATATAAGTAAATAAATATAAAATAATAAAATATTTTTAAAAATTTAAATTAAATAAATAAAAATAAATAAATATTTTTAATATAATAGACGAGAAAATATGTTAGGTGATGTACATTTTTATTATATAGTTAGTGGCGTACATTTAAACCAACAAAAATAGTTGTTTTTTTAGTACTTGCTATATAGGTGGAAATTTTGTGTTTCTCTTATTGGGATATGATTTCCTCTTACGTGTATGTGACTCGGATTAGTACACGTTGCTATCATTCTTATCATGTTTTTTTTTGGTTCACTTGTATTTCTCTCATTAAATCAATGTAATTTATTTGTTAATAGAAGAGTCCGATCGATAGAATTGATTATAGTCGGCATAAAGATTCTAGATTATCTAGTAGAAAAGATTGAAAAATAATTTTTTATTTTTTTATTAAGTATTCGATATCTACATTAAGGCTTAACTATGTCAGATTTATGCTTCATAGAACCTCATTTAGGAGGAAGTGCTTTCTTAATTTTTTTTAAATTTCATAACCATAGTTCGAACCTAAAATTTTTTATTTAAAAAAGGAGTAATCTCATCTACTCTATCACATCATTTGATGATAACTTTCAAGAAGTTAGAAATAAGGCAAAAAGATAACTTTGCGCTACAAGTATTTTTGAAATTTTAGCTAAATATAAATTATTTATTTTGAAATAAGGAAATTTTGGAAATTTGGAAGTAATAAATTTAGGCATGATACAAAAAAAATAATATTTTAATTTATTTCAGCTAACAAGTAAATATTTCAATTTTGAGTATGCATGTGTCAGTTAAATACTAACAACTTATAAAATACTCCATCTATTCATTTTATTTGTCCACCATCTCAAAAAATATTTTTTCTTTTTATTGTCACTAGAGAAGATAATTATTATTTTTCTATATCTTATCTTTAACACTAACTATTTATTGATTGAATTATTTTTCAAGATCCGTTACTACCAAATATTAATTAATAGAGAATTATGACAAAATAGTTATATCAATCCTTATTTTCTCAAAAAATATATAAAATAAAAATAACTAAAAAATAATTATTATTTAATAATTTTTAAAATTTATGTATCACGTCAACTTCTGGAACAAAACGGAGTGGGAATTAGTTGAAGTGTTTCAAGATCTTGAAACTCAAAAAATAGTTTTCTTCCTTTTTAGAGATCTAAATAAAAAAGTCCCCTTTCCTCACGGGTTTTCTGTTGTTTTTTTTTTTCTTTCATACTTTGTTTTGATTTGACCACTTCTTGTGCCTATTTTGTTCTACTTCCTCTCCATACATTTTGCCTATTTACTCTTAAATAATGACCAAAAAATAGGTATTATACTAATTATGAAACTCCAAAATTCTCTTCTTCTTCAATCCTCTTCTCCTTCAACCCTTTCTTTTCTCTATTCATCTCCAAAATCAAACAAATGGGGTCATAAAAATCCAAACTTTATTTGTAAACTTGTTCTTTTTAGCCCAAAGAAACTTAGGTCACAATATTTTGAGAAAAATGACTCTAAAGGTTATAGTAGCATACAACCATGTTGTTGTAGTTCAAGATTTGGTGAAGAACAATTTGATGGTGAAGAGATTGAAAGAGGGGAAAATGAAGGGTCTTGTGCAATTTTTGGGAGTAAAGATTCAATTTTTCCATCAAAATTTGAGTCTCTTGAGCCAAGTTTGCTTGGTATTGAGCCAGAACCACCATATTGGCCAGAAAGGGAGGTAATTTCATGGGCACATATTGAACAAAAAGCTAAAAGTTTTGGACTTCCATTGTCACTTAGAATGATGCAAAAGAAATATCAATGGGAGTCTGGTAGATTTAAAGACTTAAAGGCAACAAATTCTTGCACATCAAAGGCTTTTAAATCTATGGTGTTTATTATTGTGGAGTTGCAAACTTATGCATTGCATATGAGGGAATCAATGTGTAATGAAGATTTAGAAATGATTATTGATAAAGTGCAAGGGGATATGTATGCATCATTTGTATGTCTTTTTCGACAAGTATTTTCGCAAACACCAATGTTAATGATGTATGTAATGATACTCTTGGCTAATTTTAGTGTTCACTCTGCTTCGGGAGAGAATTGTGATCAAACATATCTAAAAGTTCATTATCCTGATATTGTTCCTCAAGATGAGTCAAAAGTAGTGTGGAGTGATGAAGAGAAAAAATTGTGGGATTCAATACAAGATGAAACTTTGAATATGAGGGATCTAAAGGGTATTGGCTTTGATCATGAAGTCATGTCGAAGTTTGTTTCACCATTGTCAGTGGAGATTGAACCAGATAATAGTGTTGACTATTATAAGGCTGATCTTGTTTATCAGATGAATCTGACTCATGAGCCTAATAACACTCTTTTGCTATGCAATTATGCACACTTTCTGAAAGTTTTCGTTCGAGATAATAATAGGTAATTTCTTCAACTTCCCTTGTCTTACATAATATATGATATGATCTTAGATAGGAGGTTGTGGAGGAAACGGATTTGGATAGTAGGTTAGTAGGTAATAGTGTATTGTCTCAATATTTGTCCATACTAGTAGTCTTAGTATTGCTCCTATAGTTTTTTGTCCTATGATTTCTGTCACTGTTTGTTGTTTTGTGTACTTCCATTATCGAATTATTTTGCTGTAGTAACTGTTCAGAATGCCTTGGACTGGTTTTCCTTGAGCCAGGGGTCTGTCATAAACAACATCTCTACTTCTAAGGTAGGAGTAGGGTTGCGTAAACTCTACTCTCCTCAGACCCCACTAGTTTGAGATTACACTTGGTATGTTGTTGTTGTTGTCGTCACATAGAAAAGCCATACATCTAAACTTAAGGCTAGTACATCGAGCAACATAGAATTCTGTTGTGCCAGTGCACAAAGAAAGCACACAATGACTGTGTATACCTTTGGTCGGTCTATCATTGTTCATGTTGCGTTAACTCCTTTTCTTATTGTGTTAAAGAAAATGGAATGGAGAATTAGTTCCTCTGTGACCTAATATTGTAGTTCCTCTTTTTTCTCTAAATTTTCAAAAGTTGCTTTTTGATCTTTGCAATCTCTCAAGTTTCAAGAAGAGTAAGCAAAAACCGGGTTATTGAGTTTGCGTGTTCTAGCCAGCCTAGTTACATTATTGTTGTTTTTGACAGTGCTACTCATATTTCAATTATTTGAAGCCCATTCCCTAGATTATAGTTTGCTGATGCCAAGATTTTGAAAAGATCACTTGAGCAACTTTTGGAAAATTCTTGGCGATCTTGGGAACAACACGATTTAGTGTTGAGATAAGTAGCATCTCAGATTCATAGCTCGGAAATGGTACTATTAGACATCGGGCGGAGCTAGGAGGCTCAAGGGAATTCATCTGGACCCCTTTCCTATAAAATTATACTCTATATAAAAAGTTAAAATTATTTTTATGTTTATATGATGGATGTTGAATCCTTCGCTTCTTCTTGTACAACAACAACAACTACCCAGTGTAATTCTACAAGTGGGGTCTATGGAGGGTAGAGTGTACACAAATCTTACCCCTACCTTGGAAGGTAGAGACTAGAGAGACGGTTTCCGATAGACCCTCGGATTAGGATTCTTGGCTTCTTCTTGTATTTACTCTTTTATAGTTTGAATCCCCTTAGTGAAAATCTTTGTTCTATCAATGTTAGACATGACCTGAGATGTGCTTTTGGTTGGAGAATAGAACAGGGAAGACCTGTCCTTTGTTTTCTGTTTGTAGTTTCGAACAACAAAATGAAACGGACACGAATAGAGAGAAATCGTTACATAGAGTTCATATAGTCAGCCCGGATTAGTTTGGGATAGAAGAGTAGTTTGTTTTCTATAATTTCAGACGATGAGTCATTTGTTGTAACAGGGCGGAGGAGTGCTTCAAGCGGGCAGTCCAAGTGGAACCACCGGATGCAGAGGCCCTATGTCAGTATGCGATCTTCTTGTGGAAGGTTAAGAACGACTTATGGGGAGCCGAAGAAAGATACCAACAGGCAGTGGCAGCTGAGCCTAGGAACTCTTTTTATAGATCTACATATGCCAATTTCTTGTGGAGCACAGGCGGCGAGGAAACTTGTTTCCTTCCAACTTCCAAGTAGTACTTCTTCTATCATTAACAAAAAGGGTGAAGAAGTTTAGTCATAGAGGAAAAAATATTGATCAAGAAATGCATCAACTAAGGAGAAAATGGTGAGATTCCCATAACTACAGAGTGGAGAAGAAGTTCCTCTAGACGTCGACAAACTTTTGTCTTGTAAATCACACATTTGAATAAATGCTAACGTGAATGATCGGTCTATTGTGTTTTTTCTGTAGGGAAATGGCTATATTATTTGTTCTTGATTTTCTATGTCTAGATCGAGTATAGAGTGGTTTGCATGGGAGCTGTTCACCAACAACAACATCTACGGTTCAATACCAAACAAGTTGAGGTCAGCTATATGAATCTGTACTGTCAAAGAAAATATCATAGTTCGGGATCAATTTTGTGGTCTATAATAAGTGAATTGAGTTCTTAAATTTTTGTAGAGTAGGGTATTTTCATCTATTGACAGACTTCTTATTATTAGTATATTTTTGTATTTTTGAGTGAGTTTGGTAAAAAAAACATAATCAATTGGGAATGTCTCGTCTTCTGAGGCTTAGACCAGGAGTCCTGTATGATTAATCATTGTGTGTTACTCCCTCATTGTTTATTAGCGTACAATATTTTCTCTTTACGCGTCTTTTAAGAAATATAAAAATATATTTATATTAATTTACCCTTTTAATTATTTTTAATACATTTTATTTATATGTCTTATCTGTCAATACCAAGATTAACAAAAGAGGAACTTTACAATACTCCTATTTATATTTTTAATCAAAAAGAGTCAATTTAAGGTGTAAAATGGAAAAAATATAATTAGTTTTTTAAATTTTATAAATTGATAAGTAATTTAGGATAAATATCTTTGTCAATGTAGACAAGTAGTACGTGATAGAGGGAGTACATTTATCTCATTACTCCTCATCATTATTATATATGTTAAAATTACTAAAATGTTCTTAAGACTATTTATGACGGAATGGAATACATGATAATTAAAAGTTAGAATTTTGGAAATTTATTAGACGACAACAATAACATATCTAATGTAGGATGTACATGAAATTTACTTTTATCTTTATGAGGATAGATAACTATTTCGATAGACTCTTGGCTAAAAAATATTACATATTACATTGGAATAAGATCATATAAAAAGTTGATTAACTAAAAAGTGCTTATAAATTGTAAAATTATAAAATAAGGTGCGACGAACTTATGAATTTTGATTGATTTTAACTTACATTCGCTTGACTTATAAGTATGTATTTTTACCAAACATGTCGATAAATAAATAAAAAATACTTATAAAAGCTAATTTAAATTTTAATCAACCCACTTACAAGCAGCACACCCAAATATAAAAGGGGGCAAATGAGACCGACAAAGTTATCTCATGAATTAAGATATATATATATATATATATGAGATAACCTATCTCATTATTACATTACAAATAATAAGATAAATAATTTCAAAACTAACTAATATCCCTAACTAAATATATTCAATCTCAAAACTATTATTCCTTATCCCTCCTACTAAACGGCCTTTTATAGGTTAAATTTATTGCTCGATATATTTTTGGATAAAAAATATTTGATTCCTTGATGACTCGAACTCACATCCTTAATATTGAAAATGAATAGTATTTACCATCCAAGCAATTCTAACGTTTTTTTCAAAATAAGTCAATTTTACCTTAATTCAGGGGTATTTTGAATAAAAAAAGACAAAACAAAGGGCCTCTTTAGACATTATCTAGAAACACAATAAAGAGCTATAGAACCACCACAAATAAAAACTCAAACTCAATTCTATCACTTGAGCTGCTGCAATGGCGTCGTTGTTAGTTGGTTCAGTTCCTATGGCTACTGTTCAATCCATGGCTTCTCTCTCTCCTAATTTATCCTTCTCTCGTTCTCACTCCGTCGCCGGCAGCGTTTCAATAGCGGCGGCGTCTCCTTCAGCATCAATTTCGTCTTTGTCTCTCACCGATTCAAATCTCCCATTGAGTATGAATCGCATACCTTCGATTGCAGTTTCAGTTCGAGAAATTGAAATGATTTTATTTATTTTGGATTTGATTTGATTTCAGTTTACTGCGGCAGAGGTGATAAGAAGACGGCGAAAGGCAAGCGGTTCAATCACTCCTTTGGCAATGTGAGTTCTGCTGCTTACTTTCTTAGCATATTTTGGTTTATTGCAGGATAACACCTCCTTAATATGACTTAGTTTCAGATTACACCCCTATATTTTACAATTAGGAGAAGAATCCTATATTTATATTCTGGTTTGATAGTAGAATAAAAACAATAATTTCGAGATAAATTACATATTTGAATTAAGGTATTAGCTTGAAGTGATGAGTTTACTATTCCATATAGAAGATGGATAAAATAATTTCATGAGATATTCTTGCTTATCTATTTAATTATTAAAATACAGATAGGGTATTCGAGTCAATTATAGAGATATATTTAAATATTCATGTCTAAATATTTTTTGAAACTGATAAATAAAATTAGTTAATATGATATACTAACTATCACGGTGGAAATATGAAATAACTTTTTTTTCCCACATTTGATTGAACGTATTTTAGTTCCATATAAAATAATTCATTGATCAAATAAGATTTCTGGTGTATAAGGTTTTGCATAATTGATGCGGTAGTTCAATGCCTACAACCAAATGCTATATTAATGTTGTAGAATCTTATACTGAGATTAAAATATTCATAAATTTCAGACGAATTAACCCCTCATAATTTTGAAGATATATGTTTGAAACAATGAGATAAATTGCCTAGTGTTATTTTTGTCTCTATTGAAATTTGAATCTGCGACTTCATAGTTCTCAACCCACTTCATTAACCACTAACGTTCTTTTTTTATGTTCGTTAGATTTGCTAGATATAGCGGAAAACAATAGTTGTTTCAATAATTTTGATTGGTATTTTCAACAAATATTGACTGTATGAATTGGTTTAGGCAAGGCCAAGGAACAAGAAGAAGGGAAGAGGACCACCTAGGGTTGCAGCACCACCAGCAGCACCAAAGAGAGATCCATTTGATGATGGCCAAGTCGTTAAAATTGAAATTCATGACCCCTAGTTTTCTTGGAGGAGCAACTTCATCGTCAGCAATTTTTATTTTTATGTAGCTCTAATCTTCTACTACTTGTTTATTTCATCGAGTTATCGAAATTTAAATGTCGATTAAGTTAATTGTTGGACTGAGATTTCTAGTTTGCTTGAAGGGTCTTCGTTAAAATGTTCTTGTGTCCTGTTAAACTATGCATGTGGTTCTAGCAACCTTCAGTATACAAGTGGTAATAGTTACTAATTTAGCTATCAAGACAAGTGAAAAGCTTAGAGAACCCCACAAATTCATTTTATTTCTGTGAATTCCTTGTGGGTTGAAAACCACAAGGTTTTAGGTTCATATTCTAGCGGAGACAAAAACATTAGGAGGTGTTTTGGTAGAGTGTATAAGAATAATAATGAATAGAGTGTATTAGTAATGCTAGATTAGTTATGTTAGGAGCTATTTCCTATCCACTATTTGGTTTGATATATCAAGGGCACTTTCGCCTTTACCAAACAAAGGATTAAATGATACCATAGCTAATACATGTTTTTTAGATTCTCTAATATGTCCTACCAAATGACCCTTAGGTGTTCTTATTTAGACTTCCGTGGATAGAATTAAATATATCTGTGCTGGTGAAAGGTAACCTATACCTCAAAGAATTAGTCGAGATGTGAGCAAGCAAATCCGGTCACAAAAGAGCTTCTTTCGTTTGGGTCAACAAATTTGTATGCATATTCAAATATGTGGAAAATTGTTATACACAACACCACTACAACCATAAACAACTTTACAGCAGGACACAAGTTGGATAAACAAAATTTGCATAGATATTGGTTGAAGAAAATGCTGATTTTGATGTACAGGTTACGCCAAAGGTCAAATTAGAAACCAACTCTTTTTTTAATGACCGAGAAATCCTTCCGAGTCCAACCTTTTAAGACCAATTGCAACCTTCAAAACTGGGGAATAATGGGTCCACCCCTCTACCTTCCCCCACTTAAATACCTGGCTTAGTCGGTATGCCATAGGGCTTGAACTTCTGATCTAAGTCACAAGTCCCTCAACCTTTGCCACTGGAACCAAGCTCCAGGGATAATTAAAAACCAACTTCTTGAAACAATAATTGTAAAGACTCCTAATGAAACTAAATCAAGATGCTGAAATTGACAAAAGAATGCAGGTGGAAGAGAATTTTTTTTTCTGATCAGTTTCAGTAGGGGTGTCAAATGGGCGGGTTGGGTTGAAATTGGAGATATTAAAATGGGTTGAAATAGAAATCGGATTGGGTCTTGACCCGGCCAAGTTTACTTTGGGCTCAAATGGATTGGGTTCAAATGGGCTAAAAAACGGGTTGAGTCTTGACCCACCCAATTTGACCCGATTAATCTCAATAATTTTAACATAGTGATATTTAACTTTTATAATCACAATTTGAATTTCATCTCAAGATATTTTTTAAAAAAGTAACAAATAGATAGATAAATCCTAAAAGATGTTAAATAGATAATAATCCATACCTTTAATATAAGAACATATCTTAGTAAAGAGTTTTAAAACGGGTTGAAATTGGAGATTGAATTGGGCTTAATTGAGGATTCTCTTAAAGTGGGTTAGACTTGAATGGGTTGAGATTGAACCCAATTCAAATTATCTTGAGTCCAACCCTCAAAATTCTGGGCGGGTTACCTATGTTTGGGTTCATTTTTGACACCCCTAAGTTTCAGTTACAAGGCAACATCTGAAACTACTAAATATGCTGAAATACTTAACTTGGCAAGTATGTAGATGTGAGCCTGAGAAATCTAGCCAAAAACCTAATCTCTCGGTATTAAAAGGCTCTCATCTGTAGCATATTTCATTCCAAAAAGAACCAGTTCTTTAATTCCACGAGAGAAAGTAAATAGATATCTCTATGGCCATATCATGCAATATCTTGTAGTATCATGAGACTCAGAATTTTTCTTCTTCTATCATACAACACTTCAGAGTTTTTAATGATATAACTAGAGGGAGAGCTATCTAAAATCATCTCAGCAACATAATGCAACTCTGAATGTCATGTAAAAAAAGGCTTTCTTTTTGGTATTCCGAAAGACGTAACCAGCCAACCTACCCAAGTGCACAACCAAATCATTAAGAACGAGAAGAAAAAGAAGCAATCTGGCTGTAACGGAAAGGACCACCAAAAGGAAAATGCTTATGGCACATGACAATGAGGGTTAACCCTCACTTACCAAAGAAAAAGGATCCAAATTCACATGACCAATCTAAACGAGGTTCTATAAAATGACCCAAATGAATATATCACCGCAGAGCTGAATTAGCAAGTGCTATTGATCTTGTGCGAACTGGGAATAAAAAGTGCATTAATACAAGTTAGAATCCAGAGAAAAACGAAATTAACCAATGAGGGAAGCACACTCAGGGCATTGGTCTAATGGTAAATGCAGAGCGTGATGTGTGGTAGGCACACGCCACAGGTTCGAATCCTGATCCAGACAAGCATGGTATCTCTAGAAATCTAGAGGGGCGGGCCCATTCTCCAACGAACTTTGAACTGTCTGCAATGGACCATCCAGGATTTCTCGGTTACGATAAAAATAAAAAACTAATGAGGGAACCTGTCTTAAATGCTTGTACATGATGTAATTTTGCAGGAGACCTTAAGAGACAAATATTGGGACATGTTGAGTAAAAAAGAGCAACATCGCGGAGTAGCTCGAGAATGCAAGAACTAATATAGCTAGAGACTAAAATAAAAAGTTCACGGGACAGTATCAATCCCTGGATTTCCTATTCTATGACATTATGTAATGGTGGGAAACGATACAATCTATCCAAACATTGTATTCATCGAGACAATACAATACAACACAATCCGATACATTATGAAACTATATACAACAACCATCCAAACAAACTGTTATATACCTCTAAAGTGCCATCAGAATTAGGTAAAAAAGCAAGATAAAATCCTGAACAGGTCAAAAAAGCAAAGGAGAAACTTCAACTCAGAAATGACAGCAAATTTACAAGATTCATAATTCAAACAGAGTACTTACAGCTTCAAATACCAGAAATTATATACTCAATTCACACTACGACATAGAAAAAATAATTAATTTCCCAAAAAAAATTCAAACAGAGTACTTACAGCTTCAAATACCAGAAATTATATACTCAATTCACACTACGACCATAGAAAAAATAATTAATTTCCCAAAAAAAACAAAGATACACGTACCATAATTTTATTTCCGGCTATCATTGTCATAGTCGAGAATTTCATCACGAGTAACAGATCTAGAGTGCTGCACTATAGACCGTCCGATCGAATTGATCCATTCCTCCTTCTTCTCCTCCGAATCAGCAATAAAATACATAGTATCGGACCTAGTTGAAAGCTCAAACGCGAATTGTTTATTCAGAACATCTTCAGCTCCTTTCACTGTAAGGCAATTAGCCACCGGAACAACGCCACGCGGTTTCGATCCTCTACTGAGATTCGCTTCCTTGAACCAAAACAGTTTCCCCTGTTTCAACACGAACCACCGGCGACGCCAGGTTTTTATGTACTCGCCTTGTTTTGTGAGCCAGCCGGTTCGTTCAGGGTTGACCCAGAATTCTACTCCGTCGTAGTCGTCGGTTGATGGAGTTGTGTTGTCGCCCATCACTGCTCGCCATAGACTGGCCATAGGTGATGTGATCGAAGGAGAGAGAGAAAAGAAAGAGGAGAGAAAAATGTGAACACTAGACAGGTATTATTTTTTCTCCTAATTTTAAAAGTTTTTTTCCTTTAGAACATGTGGAGTAATTACTCGCTGCTCCTCCGTTTTCAGGTTTGGGCCCTTAATAGAAACCACTTCCTTCTGAATGAGATCCTACATGGCATGAGTTTGAAATAATCGAACTCTAATATAAAAATACCGAACTTGATTCTTGATATATTTTTCATTTTAATCCATTACAAAATACTTCGTACCTCAATTTATATAACTCATTTTTTTCTTAAGTAGAACCAAAAAAACATATTTTTATACTTAATAACAAATTAACTTTAAAATATTTATTTTATTGTTGATGATGAAATAATTTATAACTATACAAATATCTGTTACTTATTTTAAATCACAAATTTTTTTAAAAAAATCCTTCTTAAACTCTATGTTAAATCAAACTACAACATTAAAAATTGAATGGGATGAATATTGAATATGGGGTTTCGAACCCATAGAGTGGAAAATATTTTGTTGGAAGTACCGCCTCCAAAAATGATCATATAATGTGTTATACCAAAGTTAATCGGCCTTCGATATGAATATCAAACATCAAATTAAAAAATAAATGGATTTAGTTTATACTACTATATGGAGTACTAATCAATACGTACTGAACTTTCCAGCTTATACTATTTTATTGTCCTTGTAGGTTTGAACTTAAACTGTCCTTGACCATTGATTTTGATAGTAATTTCAAAAATCGATCTTCAAATATCTACCTGGCCATGAAATTTGAAAGTACTTTCAAAGACTTCCATTTACAAACTTCCAAATTTTTCGAAGTAAAATGCATGCCCAAGTACAACTTCAACTCAAATTTTTAAATTTCAACTTCAAAATCAATGGTCAAACGGGAGCTTATAGTCTGCAAGTAGGAACTAGATTAAGGAACATTACTGCTTGTAGCAACTGGGGAATCATATACTCACTTCAGAACCAGCATTTTTGTTTGCAAAAAATGGTTCTAAGCACGCAACATAACTTAAGGAAATAGGCTGGCTTAAAATTTCATAGCTAACTGTGCATCAATCTTTACATAACGTGGGAGACCATATGCATCGGTTTTTCCCAGGAAACAATCATAATTCAAGCACCAAAACTTTCATTCCGGCACTGAATCAAAACTATAATTTTATAATCTTGCACCAGCGAAGGGCAATCATTACCTTCCATGCATATAGGCAGGAGATCGAACACCTTTAACACCGCTAATAGCATCATCAACTTCACTCCCATCAAGACACACTGTATTGTTATTGACACTCACTTCAGAACTAGCATTGCTGCTCGTAGCAAGTGGGGAGTCAGATACACTCACTGTCCTGGTTCTGTTAGGTCCTGATCTTACACTGTACATGGAGGATGCTGGAATATTAGTCATCGATGGACGCAGATTTCCGGAGATGCTTCGCCTTATATCCTGTGAGAGAGGAATGTTCTCAATTAAGCAAAACCTTAGAGCAAAAAAAAAAACAAGGATGACGATGTGCGGAGCTTCATAGAGCTCCAACAAGACCAAGAGAACATACTTTTATACTTGTAAAAAGGGAAAAACTACCCATGGTCACTATACATGTGTTCAAACTACAGAAAATTATCCCAAACAGGAAGTTCTCATTCTGAAGATCACCATGTTGCATTAACACAAGAAAGACAATTTCTAGAAATGCTGCATAGAGAACATTCATGACCATACTCTGAAAAGCCTATCCAAGACCCCTAAATAGCAGCATGAAATGAAATATACATACCATATGCCTCATAGCCATGTCCAAGGATTTCTTTGACAACGTCCTTCCAAAACCTGTACTGTCAGGTGATGAAGAGTGCGCATATAAGTTATTACGGGGAGAATGTTTATTATCTTGCTTTGCAGGAGGAGCCAGCTTCCGCATATTTATTACCCTTTCAACCATCTTAGTTCCAACCATACCAGGGCTTACATTATCATTAGCTTTAGCATGTAATCGACTCATAGCTGGAATAGGAACAGAGCTCCCACTGCTACGCACAACACCATTAGGAGGGCGTCCTCTAGCTGGAGAGCAAGATTGTCGTCTAACCCTTCCATTTGTAACTGGCTCAATGGATGAAGATCTAGCACTTGGTGCTCCAGGTCTACCCCTTGTAGCTGAAGTTGGCCTGTCAGATAATGATGTCCGTAGATTAGGTGGAGCATCATAGGAGAGCCCTGGGATATCTGAAGGCTTCCATGGTCTGGGTTTTACAGTTGGAGAACTAGGACGTGAGGCTCCAGGATTTCTTGCCGTAGTGGTTGCTGGTGTTACTGAAGACGGAGATTTAATTGAAGGAGCAGTAGCATTAGCTGTACTGGACACTGAAGTAGGCCGACGAGTTGGAGTTGCTGCCCTTGATGTGGACTTCGATCCAGGAATGGATGCCCTGGTTGTGAGTGTTGAGGAGTTTCTGGTTGGTGTTGAGGACCTTGCACTGGACCTGGCTGTAGGTGTTGAAGATCTTGTAGGAACCGTTGACTTAGCAGAAGGCAAGGTGGAACGAGAAGTTGGTGTTGAAGACCTTGCTGGCCGAGACGTGGTTGTGGTTGTCATTGTTTTAGAAGTCGCAGTGGATGTCATTGCTTTGGATGCTGCAGTAGATGTGCGTCTAGTTGCTGATGTCAAGGAGGATGTTGCACTTAATGTGGGTCGTCCAGTTGGAGTTGAAGGTCTTGATCCACCAGACGAAGATGGTCTTCGAAGACCTGAATTTGAAGTATTTAATCCAGCAGCGGAAGCAGGCTGTCTAGATGCTAAATTGCTTCTACCAGAGGGCTCAAGCTGGGGATTTGCTAACTGCATCCAGAATAACAAGTTGCATAGTAAATCAGTCCATGGTTCCCAACAAATTTAAGTTAAGACTGCCTAACTGGAAGCTCCAACATTCCATCTGAAATTCTTAATTTTTAACTGGGGCAGGTGGTTAGGGATGGACATTAAAACCGATAAAAAGGGTCCGAACCGAATTAAGTCAGTTCTTCAGTTTTGGTTCTTTGGGCTGTTTTCAGCTTTAATTTTTCAAAAGTTCGGTTTTTGGTTTTAAGATATCAGTATTTTAGTTGACCGAAATACCGCCAGTGACAATGACCACTGCAGCTGCTCTTAGTCGTGTTCAAGAGCAAAATGCTGTGGCTGCTGTTCTTCGATAAAGAGATAGAGTAATCAGTAAAATCATTTATTACCAGCTAGAATCCTCCTTGCCCGAGAAATTTATCCTTTTAAGAAGCTATAGTCTATTTTCTTTCAGTTTCCAGATTATGACAAAAATAGGTTGTCTCTGGATTGTGTTGCAAATATATATAACAAAGAACTGTTATATATTTTCTTATGTTCTCATTTGTCATGCATTTCACTAATAGCCAATATCATCTAACTTTTGAAGCTCGACAAACAAAACTACTCAATATGAACATCAACGAGTACAATGAGGATGTGTCAATTCTAAGCAGGGGTTGCGAGCATACTACCGTAGAACCAAACTAACCATGGATCAGTATTCGGTATATACTATTGAAAAACTGAAGACCGAAGAAGCACATACCCTACAGGCTACAGGTGGTAAGGCAAAATTCTGTATCTGTTTACATTTTAGGAGAGCACGTACTTTGTGATTAAGGGGTAAACAAGCCTTACTACAAAAAGGAAATGCATATGAGTATATCGTATTATTTGCTTTAATAAATTCATTAAGATTACTGTGATATATCAACAAAGATGATTTCGTTGCTAATAGCATTTGACTAAACAACGGAGCCACCATGTGTGTTTTGAACTAAAATACCTGCAAGGTCCTTTCTACCTGATTATAGAACTTTTCCTTTTATTATGCTTCTTGCAAATCTCTACATCACTTCTACTGGCTGGATGTGTAGTGAAAATAACTTGAACTCATGAAAGATAACATTTCATGTATTAAGCATATTATCATATATAATACTCAACCGAATTACAGAAAATGCATTATTTCAGCAATCATGGAGTAAGAAAAGTAAAAGTAGTATATTCTTACTCTAGATCTCAATGCAGTTGGACGAGCTTTAGCAGTTCCCAGCTGACTCATCATTGATTTTTCCGACTCCATCTCAAGTGAAGGAAAAAGAGGAGTACTTGGAGGTGTTAGAAGCCTGAAAGACAAAAATATATGAGACCTGAACACACAAATAAAAGACAGAAGCAGATACTCTTTTGATACTGAATGTTGTATAAGTGTGGCAAAAGATCATCCAATATCAGAGGTCTCGAGAAGCCTTTTCTCTTCTATTTTGAGCTTTTTTTTTTATTGATTGATTGCGTGGGGGTTATAGCACCCACTACTTTACTTGTTTGCATCAACATTTTGATATACGAAATTCATTAGTTGAACTTCAAAATATAAGTAAAAATGAGCTCTATATACTAAACATGTTCTCTTGCTACTCATGATGTCTAAATGAACATCAATTATAAAACACCCTTCTGTCCCAAATAGTTTGGCACGATTACCTTTGAAGGAATGCAAGTAGAGGTAATACTAAACTGCAGAGCTGTGACGTAGCATGACTGGAGCTGTGATGTAAATACTGCAATGTGGTGCTTAAGATAACAAGTCCGTTTAATTGTCAGTTAACTTGTTGGTAGGTGTTAATTTGCAGATGTTTGTTATTAGTACACTTGCAGTAAGAATTGTTAATCTAAAGAAGTTATATTTCTCTCCCACTCGCTGGTTTTTCCTTACTCTAGCTTAGCTGCGCTCAATGGACTCTCATTGGTTGTCACCGATTTCTGGATTTTTCATTACCATTTTTGGAATCAAACTGCTTTTCCTTTGACTATGATTCGTTAAATAAGTCCTAATTATTTTAACTGAGAAAACAGCCAAAAGCCCCCTAACCTATATCCGGATTTCCAACTACACTCTTCAACTTCACTTGAGTCCTATAACCCCCTGAACTATTTAAAACTGAAACTACATCGCTCACACTCAAGTGA